ACATATATGCTGGGCAAGTGTTATACCACTGATTTACATCCCCAGCCATTGAGATTTTTTGAGATAGCCTTGCTATGTAGCCCAAGCTGTCCCCCAACTCATGATCCTCCTGTCTCTGCCTCCCAGATGCTGAGATTATAGGTGTGCACTACCACACCCAGTCCAATAGACTCTTTATGGTCTTTTTTGTAACAAGTGACACGAATTGTCTCTGCACTAAATTTCTCTTCTGAGGCTGATTTCCTCACGGGGAGTCTTGGGTCTATGATCTATGTCTTGGATCTTGGATTCTATGACTCTAATTCTTCCCTTTCAGTACTCTTCTTTTTGTTGGGGTTGCTTATTACTCATTGACCCTCCTTCCTTGCTGCCCTTTTCCTTCTGTTTGCATATATTCTCTGGAAGATTGCACCTCCTTTCTTGATTATAACTTGCACATGTACAATTCTCAAATCTCTATCTCTTACTACAACTCTGCTTTGAACTCTGAATGGAATCCACATTGACATATTATGCCTTTCCAACTGGATGTCTCAACTCTTCAGGCATCTTTCTGACACATAGTTAGATCCCCCTTGAACAAAAAGGCAGATGTCTGTTATTGCACCTGGGATATAGCCATTGTGTATTGAAATTGGCAATCTAGCTGGTGCATGATTGTCTTGTCAGTTTTCTTGGTGTGAGTCAGTTCCTGAGTGTTAGTGAACTCTAGATGAACTGCTGAGATCAAGTTTCTGAATCTGTAAAATAGAAGACCGGACTGTGGACTGTGGTGACTGAAAATAAACCATGAGCCAGGAAGGTGAGGCCCAGGAAAGGTCAGCAGACCCTTCCTGCTAGTATGCTCTTAGCTGTTTTATGTGTCTTGGTCCCATATAGTAAATAATCATTGTGCAAAGCATAAAAAAGTTGAACACTTATTTTCTGACTTCGGAAATTCAACAAAGCATTCAAAAGAACAATACTAAATGCATCCAAACAATCATTCTCACAACATGAATTTCTAGGAGACCTGCAAAGTCACCACAGCATGAAAGAGGACAACAGAACCCTAGAGAAAGAGTAACAGCAAAAACAACTAAATGGCACATGGAGTGGCAAAACCCTCAGTGGCCTCTAGATCGCCATACCTACCACTTATTGCGTACAGGGTGATATGCTTTGTATATTCTATTTTATTCACTCCACCAACATCCTGTAAGTCACATGTTGTTAGGGGCTATGCAGCCCAAAATGCACATGTAGCAGACACCAAAGGTGGATTCAAACCCAGGGCTTTTTTCTTTCTTTTTTTTTTATTGCAAGCTGATGCTCTTAAAATACATTTGCTCTTAAAACACATTTGCTGTTTCTCGTTTAAATCTAAAGAGATGCTATGAAAAGTTAAGCTGTCAACATTTACATAAATCAATTCCACTATGCTATTTTTAACTGAAAACAGCCATACTGGGATATAGGCTAAATGCTGTTTTAATAGTTTCTTTTGAAATTTTGAATGGAAGAAATTCCATTCAGAATTAAAAGAAAAAGAGTAAGAACATGTAACAAAATTAACAACTAAATTCACCATTTTTCTACCATGTCCACTGAAACCTAGGACACAGCAGATGTAAACATAAGCACATTGCATTGTGTGTCTGAAGCTAAAATCACAAACTTCATTAAATTATGGACACTGACCTATTCCGTCCATTTTCTTTTGTTAGAGCCTGCATGCTGTAACATACCACAACCTGCATTCTTTGCTAGATCTGCTTTTGAATGAAGATTTTGCTCTGACCTGCCAACCAAGGTGACAGGATTAACAGGATCATTTCCGAGGTCTCTGTCTGTTTTAGTCTATTCTGGAGGTTTCCCACCTGCACACAGATGATTTCTCCCCATCAGGCAATCAGTAAAGGCAGTGGGTTTCTTTTCCCCCTTTGAAGTACTGGCAGTCCAGCTTACCTTGACCCCCCAATACCCTACTTGGCTCCATTTCCAAGGGGCCACACACATCTCAGCTGCTTAGCCCAGGGGCCTGACTTCACCCACAGCCATGGGCTTCGACTGTCCATCCCATCCATCCCAATGCCCATGTCGGCTGGGGAGGGCAATACCCAGGGACCTGCCCAAAGCACCATAACCTTGCAGGGTTAATAAGCAAAGCACAGCATTAACACTAACATGGCTTCCCAGTGCCATCTGTTGTGTCTAGAATGTCCTTCCCGACAGACCTCTACACTGCAAAAAATATACCCTGAATTGAGGACAGTTTTACATTTGGAAATGAAACCTCTGACCTTATTTGGGGCAACATTCTAAATCTGGAAGGAGCCTAAAAGTTTCCATATCATTAACATAAGAGAGGGAATTCAATATCTCAACTGACTTGAGAGGGGAGAAATTCTGACTCGACTCTATTCGTAGATTCGGTGTTCAAAGCTTTGGTATAGATTCTTCTTAAATCAGAAAGATAAATATATTATTTCTCTGTATACATGAAGTAAACAAACCCACTTACCCTAGCACACGCAGATACCAAAAAATTCTACCAAAGCTGGAGTTAACAAAAGGAGCCAGTGAACTCTGCCAGTGCACCTGATTCAGAGGAGTTAGCACTAACTGATACAGCTCACAGGGGCAGCAAGAAATCTGCAAGTTCTATTTGTTTTGGGGCTATTTCAGCAGATACCAGAAAACCCAGCCCAGCATCGCTGCTCACTGGCCTTCTTCATTGAGATTAAAAGGGTAAGGCTTTAAACACGCTTCCATTCCATTATACATTGTTTTCACTATATTCATATACTATACATTTTGCATAATAATATGTTACACATGTTATGTGCATATTCAGTGTGTATCTAACACCCCTGGAAGAAGCAGGCAATGTAGATTAATAAGCAGAAACTACAAAAGATTGTTAGTATGATTACCTCCAGGGGTTAAAAATTAGATGAGAAATGATTATAGTCAACATTTTAAACAGAGTATGAGAAGTAGTATCAAGTTGTATTTAGTATTTTGCTTTAAAGAATGAAATCACATTCTTATTGGTAATTAAACATCAAATATCAGGCATTGTCCTGAACTAGGATTCTTCACTACTGTCATTCTGTGGTCAGTCTGCAGCATGAGAAACTCCCTGAGTTAGTGTTTGCCACTCTGTACATGAACTGGGGAAAGTTTTATTAACACTGTAATAACAAGAAACCATTGAACCACATTTTATAGTTTTATTGAGTCTTTTTCAGTTTTAGTTGCTTATGATAAGTACAATTCTAGTCACCACCATTGCGAAGCTCTGCTGTACTATAAATAGCAGATACCACGTTGGCTGTCATGCCTCAGACACTCACACACACAGACACACATGTGCATGAACACACAAACATGCAAGGTGTTGCATACTGCTGCATGCAAACAATACTGTGCTTTTACAGGAAATGCACTTTTTCTTTTAAAAAAACACGATTATGCACAATTAGTGTGGGTTTTGTTAAGCTACCATTGTTTTATATAAACCTGAGAAGGCTCAAAATATCAAGTAACACTGTTTTGTACTGCTCGTTCAATGGCACTATTAATCACAAGGAAATCTAGTTCAATTATCTATATTAAAATCACGGATAATACAAAAATAAACATTTTTGCAAAAGCACTAAAACATAATATAATTAAAATTCACAAATTTTGATATGTAACATATATTTATCTTCATATTAATTTGTATTGATGTGTATAATACAATGTACAACAGAATAACAGCTGTAACAGAATTCAGCAGCCAAATAATACAGTTATCACCATAAAGCTTGGAATTAAAGTTATCAGTTGCTCAAAGAACACAGATTAAAATCTACAGCAATGCTGAACTTGCTGGTAGTGTCTTACTTAAAAACTCACCTCAAAGAAATTAGGATTATACTATTTCACCTTAAGAAGAAACACAATGCAAAACTTTCAAAACCAAACATCAGTAACCTATTGCACCAGCTGCCCTTTTCTCTCCCTAAAGTTTGTCCTTAAATTCTAACACTGTGCCTAGAATGCACTCCCTAGACTTCTAACACATGAGACTGACTTTGAATATAAAGACAAGTCTTTTGCCTTTGGGAGTGGAAGCTCTGAACACAGTTGGGGTCAAAATTCTAAATCTGAAAGACAACATAAACATTTCTATAATATATATAAAATGTAGGCAGTGCAGACCCAATCTGGCTAAGATACTTTATACTATTAATCTTATAATAATTGAATATCAAATTGTATCTGTATCAAATGAACCCTAAATAAGAAAGCAAACATGCAGATACATTTGTAGGGAAAAAAAAATCACTTGTATCACAAAACAGACTTTCATACTCTAGACCAAAAAAAACTGAAGACCTAAACATTTCAACATTCTGATATTTGAACAGCATCATAATATACAACTCTTATTTTATGTATGCATCATATATTATGTAAAATATACCAGTGTGACATATTAATAGTATACATTGTAATAAATATAACTTATATCCATATGTTGGATCTTTCAAGGAAGATTTTCAATCTGTACAAATGAAGGACTGTGACCTCACCAATAAATACTACTACAGGTTGCAATTTGACCAGCAAAATTAAAGCTTCAAAAGATCCTTACTCGTACCACATGTTCAAGATTGTCACTAGTTGAATTTCAGCTGCTATAAGCACTGACATCGGTGGTATCCAAGGACAGCTGAGTGTCCTGTCTGATAGAGAAGGCTTGCAGGTTATGACTGTCCACATCCCAACTTGTGAACCCTATAGGAATTTTTACCAAGGACTGAAGATTCCCGGAAAACACAGTAGCAGATTTCACACACTCCTGGCAGTCCATTTTTCAAGCCTTACTGCATCCTCTATGGCCTCAGCAGATGGATGTCATCCAACCATTTTAATCCACAAAGCACGGTCCTCAAAAAGGGTCAGGAGTCCTGCAGCTGGCCCAGTGGCCACAACATGACTCTAACTCTGAATTCTGACATGCATGCTGTATTTCTTCTTAGTTTATCTTTTTTTTTAATTTCAATGTAAATGCAAACCCATGTTCAGAGTCCAGTATTTTACTCTGACATTTGGATATTTGCTATGTCCTACAATTTTAGCTATTCTTTCATCCAAACATCAACAGATTTGTCTCTACTATTACAATACTTATTCATGTCATCATGTGGCATGAATCAGCTTTTCAGCCAACAGATCATTGCATCCTCCTGACTCTGTTCTCACCATTAACACAGATCTTCCCAGGGACTTCTTTCAGCCTGGAAGAAGTTGGCAAGATCATTCTTGTTACTATTTGGCATGCATTCACCTGTGAATGCATACATTACTCTGTGATGTACAAGGCTAAAGAAGCGATGCTTTGAGGGCTGGGGATGCAGCTCAGTGGTAAAGGACTTGTGTCACATATACAGGCCTCTGGGTTCAATCCTTAATACTGGGGGTGGGGGTGGGGTTGGGTGAGGAGGAGGAAAGAAACAATTTTTTAAAAAACATGCTAAGTAGAAAAAAGGGTATTTCTAAGTCACTGTCCACCTCCTCACGACATATACACTCCAGAAGAAAGTTCTCTGGAAGCTGAAATGAAATATTTAACACATACTCAAAACCAATCTGGAGATTCTAGTTCCAAAAGGAAGAAAGCTAAATTAAATTGGAGGAAATGTTACAGAAATATGTGCATCAGGTTCAAATACGGTACAAGCTCTGGAATTCCCATTTTGTTCAGGTTAGTAACATTGATCTTGTCTCACTGAATGCACATTTGAAAGGGTCAACACAATAAAATGATTTTAGATTTTGTCTTTTAGGACTCCAAATACACAATGTTTCATCACCCTCACCATCTGAGTGCACTGAAACCTTGTCAAAATGAGTTGAGCTGGCTGTTTGATTTGATTTCTATCATCTTATGCATTACGAATAAACACATAAAAAGAATCACCATACAGGAAGGCTAAATACAGCTCTTCTCCATTGGCCTCAGTGGCCTGAGATTGGTTAGGTAAACTGAACTACTAAGAAGGTCTCACAAGCCCTAGGTGCACCTGGGCATCTGAACAGTGGAGTCCTGAATACCCTTGGGGCATGAAGAGCCTTTCTTGACTCTATGTTCAGCTCTTCATCCTTTATTCGTAAAGTGCTGTCCAACCATTATTCTACCATCAGCTGCAATCTCTGATGATGCCATGTGAGGACTGGCTTTCATAACTAATAATTCCCTGGACATTGGTTTTATTTGCTAGTGGTTATTTACTTATTTGATTATTATTAGTGTTTCCTTATTATTCTCATTATGTAAACTTTGACGATTCCAAGGGCTGTAAAATGTGGCAATTCACTATTCATTGAAAATTGTTATTATTGTTGAAATAGTTTACATTTTTTTATGAATGCCTGGCAGAGAATAACCTGCCCAGTCCTCTTTAGTTCTTAGTTGTTTGAGTAGAACTTTCTACAGCTCGCTTTTTAGTGCTATATTTTAGGTACTTAATTTTCCATTTTCTAGGTACTTAATTTTCCATTTTCTCTTTCTACATACACGTTCTTTTCCCTTTCCAAAACCCAAATGTTAGCATATAAAATTCATTAAGATTATAGCTTCTCACTCGATTAACACAATCTATACAAATTCTGCCCACATCTCCCTTTCAAATTGCATTTAATGTTTTTAAACACTCTGAAGAGCAACAAGAATCTCTTCCCCTATGATTTTTGATATGAAGTCCCTTTTCTAGAGGTCCTCTCCCTGCCCCCAGTTGCCTCACGTACCTGAGAGCAGACTAAGCACTGTGGATGGCTGACACCCACTCCACTCTGAAATTCTGTCATTCTGCTCAAAATCCCTCTATTTGCTAAGGTATTCAACTTCCCTCAAACTTTGGTCTGAAACTTAACTATGATTTCTCAGAATTGTTTTTACAGATGTGAGTGAACACTTGTCTTGGAACACAAACAGAGTCCTAAGGCATTGGACAGCAAGTGGTACAAGAAAATGCTCTTTATCACAGGAAGTCCATCAGAGTTCATGGTGTTTACTAGGAAAACACAACCACATTGATTATGCTGAACATTTTACCAGTATGATAAAAAAATGCAGGCTTCTCCCGTCAAACATTTAGCACTATGTGTAGTAAGCAGTTCTCCAGCAATAACTGGAAAATAATCACTTTCCAGGCTTTTATATTCATTAACTTCAGGTTTCTACTCAATTCCAGGAATTGCCAGCTCCCATCTCTGCCGATAAGAAACTGAAAAAGACATTCAGCTGAGAGATCTGAGTTTAGCACTTTGTTACACTATGCTAAACACTTTTTGAGAATGTGGGTTTTCAGTTTGTTCTTGCGATGGGTTATCAAAAAACAATAAAGGCTGCACAAATCAGACTCAAGTTTCAGGTAGCTAGCTACCTTGGAGAGATTATTAACAGCAATGTAACTCCAGTATTCATGGCACACACACTTTGAACAGAAAAAGCTTGTAAATTTTAAAGGCAGCAGAGAAAGTAAATGGCTAACTAGGTAGTATTGTTTTATTACACGTGCTTCTGGTCAGTAAGAGGCAAAGTGGAAAAACCCAAACAAGCTAACATTGGCTGTAGGCATTTCTACGAATTTGTTGTTGTTAACTCAATATATTCTTTCTTTCTTGGTTAGAATATTCTCTTAACTCACTAGATACTCAAAGGAGAAGAGCACTTGGCTTGGTTAAGCATCCTACCATGTTACAAAAATGAAGGGTTTGGGGATTCCTGTGCCTTCACAAGCTTGTATCTCCATTCTGCTTGAACTCGGATAAAATATTGAGGGTCATGTCTTCACTCTTGGATTGCATATTTGCCTCGCTTCTTCTGGAAGCTTTCCTGGTTGCTCGGGAGAGTCTCCTTCGGAAAGTATCTCCGGCCAAGAAATAAAGAATGGGGTCCACACAACTGTTGAGACTTGCCAGACCTCTTGTAACCTGATAAGTGGCATAAACCCTGTCATTGAAAGCACACATTTCTGGGGTCTGAAAATCCAGCCGGGCCCTCAAGTTCATTGTTTTCATCACATGGAAAGGGATGTAAGAGACAGCAAAAACCGTCAGCACAATGATCACCAGGTAAATTGATTTCCTCCTCAGAGGCGAGTTGTCCAGGTCGTTGTAAATCAAAGCTCTCACAATTAATCCGTAACAGACCAGGATCAGCACCAAGGGGACACAGAACATGGCTACGGTGGTGCACATGCTGTAAATGAAATAACTCCGCAGGTACTCGTCTGAGGTGGTGTCATAGCAGGTGGTGGTTTTGTTTTTCCGAATCCCGGTGCCAGAGTAGAAGAGGATGGGAGAGATGGCCACTACCACGATGAGCCACACCAGCACGCTGATGTAGACCGCGTTTTTTTTCTTGAGCCTGCCCAGGGACTTGAGCGGGTACACCACGCCGCTGTACCTGTGCGCGCTGATGCACGTCAGGAACAAGATGCTGCCGTACAGGTTCACATGGAAGATGAACCGCTGCAGCTTGCACATGGCGTCCCCGAAGATCCAGTCGGTCTTATTGAAGTAGTAAAAGATTAGGGCTGGCAGAGTGAGCACGTACAGAAAGTCGGCCAGGGCCAAGTTGAACATGTACACGGAGATGCCGCTCCAAGGTTTCATATGGAACACGAACATCCAGATGGCCACGCTGTTGCCCAGAAAGCCGATGATGAACACCAAGATGTACACCGCTGGCAGGTAGTAGAATTGGAAGCCCGTCTTGGTTAGGGCACACTTGAATGAGGCGGCAGCGGCAGCGGCCGTGGAGGCGACAGTGTTGTTTTCCCAGGGCAAGCCCAAGAGGGCAGCGTCCGTCCCGTTGGGAACAGCCGGCCACAGCACCTCGGTCATGGTCTCCTTCCCAACTCAAGCAGCAGCTCCGAGGGGCAAGCGGCGGTGGGAGGGCGGCAGTGGCACAGGACGCAGCGAGCATCGGAAAAGCGGACAAGCGGAAGGGATCGCACGCGGGGGGTCCCCGCGGATCGGGGCGTGCGGGGACTCGCCCACGCCTGCTCCAGGCGCACGTTCCCCGGGGGCCATGAACTCCGCCCGGGACAGCGATTGAACCAGGCGGGAGGGCGGGCCGGCAACTTCCCCTAACGGCTGGCGGCGCCGAGGTTACACAAGAGCGCGCGCGGGGCGCCGCAGCCGACAACTTTCCGACTGTGCTTTCCCGGGGGGCCACAGGTTCGCGCTACAGAGCGAAACCCACGCGCTTCGGTCAAGGCAAAGTCGCTCGGCTGTGCCGCCTCCTCTCCCCGAACATCAACTTCGCTGGGGCATCTTCGTCTTCCCTAGCCGGGAGCAGGAGCTTCGCTTCGGGGCGCCGCGCAGCTTCCCCGGCCCCGCACCCCCGTGCGCTCAGCCCTGCGCGTCCTCGGCGCGCGCGGAACCGTGCGCTTCCCGATGGCGCCGGGCTCGCGGTCCCTGCCCGCAGCAGCCCTTCCCCGGGCCCGCTCGGTGTGCAGCGCAGGGTGCGGGCAGGACCGGGCGCCCCGCGAGGTGGGCGGAGTTTGGGCCCCGGGCGGGCGGGTGGCGCTCCGCGGGAAGGCGAGGGGCGGGTCTCCGGTGAGCCCGCCTGCGATCTGGCCGCCTTGCCTGCGCCCTGCGCCCTGCCCCGCGCCGCGGGCCGGGGCTTCTGCCGAGCCGAGCCGAGCCGCCGTTCCCTCAGTCCCGCCGCTGCCACCCGAGTCGGCGGCCGGGACGCGGGGTGCGCTGGGTCCGCGGTAGCTGCTGGAGAACGATTGGACCCTTGCGCCCCTCGGTCTTCCGCCAGCTGTTCCGCGGAGCGAAGTTGCTGACACACAGGAAACCCTCTGACCGCCCAGACCCGGGCGGTCACTCCGGAACCGACCCACCCCAGGCAGAAGTCCACAGAGCCCCGGAGATCTGCGCCAGGTGCATGAAACTCCGAGCTGCCCCTAGTCCCCAAACCGGAACGCCCGAAACAAGATCAGTTTGGTCTTGTGGCACGTATAAGGATCGAGTGCGCAAGCGGGAATGGGGCCCTTCTCTGCCTGCCTTTTATCTCAATATTGCCCCATTCCCAGGAACGAAATGCAGATAGACCGACGTCATTAGGGACGCCGTGGTGAGCATTTCTAAAAGGCCCTGGAAAAATGGGATTAGTCAGTCAGTTCTACAGGTCACTCCAGCACAATTTGACTTGCTAGATCGCTAGCACCTGCTGGACAAGGCAAGTTTCCCCAAACCTCAAGTCGAGTATATTTAGTAAAAGAGCAGAGAGTGCAGTGAAAAAATTTAAAAAGGGCCCAAATCAAACTTTGGGGAATAAATTGAGTGTTAAATCCTGCTTTATAGAGATAGAACAATTTCAACTCCAAAGCTATTAATGTATGGTATCCTAGTTCTTTAAGTTGAATTGATTGCTTACAATTACCTCTAGTAGCTTAAAAATACAGACCAGGACTTTCTTAATTACTACATTTATTGAAAAACTTTGCCTCAAATGCATACAAATTTAGACAATGCATTTCAAAGATGTGTTTGAGTAAAGTTTAATTGCAAAGTAGAAGAACTGTTTGCTGGTCAGAGATATACTAAAATGGGCCCATACGTGAATGCAATCAAGCATTTCTTGACAACTTGCTAATAATATATTTTATATGAGTTATTAACAAAGACCTTTTTCTCTTATAGAAAAAAAATCCAAGAACAAAATATCTGCAAAATATATACCATAAAGATTTCTTTCTGGTCCCAAGTGTTGCATGATAGTTTTCCCTTAAAAGTACTCAGAGGAAAACCATGAGCTCCTGGCTTTGATACCAGGAAAGAAAATACCACACAAGACCCAGCTAGTCCTTTAGAGGAACACACAGAGATGGTCATAGCCAATGATGTGAACACACTAGTATTGGTGAGTTGTGGTGAAATGAAGAGCAAGAAAATAAATAATAAAACTTTAAGTAAAGGACAAAAAATGTTGCTGTTTTGAAAACAGTCTTGATTATCTTTTTCATTACTTTATAGTTTTCAAATTGTATGATTCCATAATTCTAAAACTTAACATAAAATATTTCATATTGATTGGAGTGGTACTAGCTAGGATGGATAAGTCTTAAGAGGAAAAAGAAGGCAAAGCAAACTACTAAGAGTTTTAGGGTACTCAGTAAGTCACAGCTCCTCACTTCTTCATATTTTTCATTTGCAACCTAAATAATGCGGACCTCACTCAGAAGCCAGTTGCAGATATGGAGGCCCCTAATGTGAGTGGTTTGTTTTGTTGTTTTGTGGCAGTACTGGGGTTTGAACACAGAGCCTCCTGCTTGTGTTCTATCTCTGAAGGCATGCCTGCAACTCTTTCTGCTTTTGGCTATTTTTCAGATAAGATTTCACATTTTTTTGCCTGGGCCAGCTTCAATCTCCACCTCCTGAGTAGTTTACAGATGTGAGCAACTGTGCCCAGCCCTAAGTGAGTGTTTCAAAATGTATATTTAGTCCAAATAGCATTAAATACTTTCAGAAAAGTTACACCTTAGTAGTAATTTTAGGAAGGTAATTATCCTAAATGATGTTAAAAAGAATATAAATCATAAACACTTTTACATTCAGCATATTCAACCACATATTTATATGTTTCTTATATTTTAAATCAAAATTGTGCCTTGTAGTAATGTCACATGTATTAGGTAACCTTTTGTTAATAATTTTCTATTTCTAAAATAGTGAACTAGATTTAATGAAGGAAAACTATCACCTGAGCCAAAAATATATTTCCATATTCATATTTGAATACCGATTATGGATGCTCTATTATCTTTTGAGTGTTTGTCTCAAACATTCTGTGTTGTTTAGTACTGAGGTTACAATGAGTTGGGGCTCAGATCCCTTAACGTGTGGCCCTTTGTCATGTTGACATCTGAGCTGGAGAAAACTGGAAGTCCTCTGAAGCAAGGTCTCTCCTGTGTCCGGCCTCCCCTTACTCTCCTGAAGTAAGTCAGAAACCAGAATTCCTCTTCCTCAAGGTCAGTCATAGAACCCAGAATTCCTCTCCATCAAAGCCAGCCATAACGCCTGGAAAGGTCACTCTCTCCCTTAAAGACTCTTCTTGTGTTTATGCAAATTCATATTACTATCTTTAGAAACTCCTTTTGCTGCTTTAAAGTCACAGAAAATTCACACTAAAAAACTATTGAAAAAATTCTAAATGAGTCCATAAATAGAAAAAGAAAACAGCTGATTAATACCAAATTCACTAACTTGGAAGTAGATGAATACCACACCACAAAACCTAATTCCAGTGGCAATATGAAAAGAGAGCCAATGGTCTGGACGTGGTATGATTTTGCAGGTGAGAGACGAGGCCCTGATTTAGGAAGTTAAGAGGTCCTTCAGAGATCCTTCTAAGTTTAAAAACTAAGACATGATAACTTCTGAGACACACCTTAGGTAAACAAGGAGATTCTCCCCACCACCAAAAAGAATGTTGGAGAAGAAATAAGGAATTCTCAGCAGATGCCCTCCAGTGAAGGAGGAGGAGGAGAAAGGGCTAGGATGGAGAGGAATTGAAGGAATGAAAGGATTATCCTGTGCCAGGAGGGCCCAGCTGCTCCTGTAAATTATGCACTTGTCATGGGTCCAATCAGTAGGCTTCCTGATTTATTTCATTAAGGAGCACAGCAGGGGTGTAGACACAGAATACAGACAGGAGGGTGATTCAAGGTTGGAATGAGAAAAGGAGAATAGAACAAGAGTTTGGCTCACTGAAGAGCTAGAAATGAGTTTTCACTAGTAACACCCAAAATATGAACCAACTTTAAATGAGTGAACATTTTATTAGATTTATAAATGATTCTGATGCTTCTAGTTTTGATTCTCATATAAAAGCTGGTGGGATGGGGTAGTCCCAATCAGCCTTCCTACAACAGGCAAACCCCAAACACCCTTTTGGAAATATATCTTGTTAACCAAAGAAAGCATCCAATGAGTCAACTATGTAGGAGAAGTAGTTTCATCCCTTGTCTATAAAAAAGTAAAATAAAACAGAGTAAAATTCAATAAAGAAATAGTTTTTAGTTGAAAAGATCCAAAATAGAAACTACATACGCTTCAGGTAGAGAAATAATCAGCTGCTTCTTAATATATTTTTCTCTTTGCAATGATAGAGTTTAGTAGAATCTCAGAGTCTTAGGTAAGTTTTGTTTTTCTTCACTGGTCTTTCAGCCTTAGTTTAGACATCTTGTACTGCAGCTAAGTATCTATCTTATGTACTGCATAAAAGGGGACTCTGTAATGTCTACTTTGAGTCTCTTGGTGTAGTTTCTTGAACTTGAATATATATACAGACTGCCAGGTAGAATTTCCCTAACAGGCAGCTATGGCCTAGGGTGGGGGCCCAAGACTTTCCTTTGATTTCAATGATAAGTTATTGAGCAAAACTTTGAATGGCATGGTCCAGTTTCCTTTGACCTGGAAGAGAAAAGGATAGGCCAAGCAATTGACTTCAGGAACAGAGAAGAGAAGAGTGAACACTTCTCTTGGAAGGGGATATTGAGGCTGGGAGAATAGTCAACTAGTGAAATTATTATCTCTGGTGTAGGAGGCAATGTGACCATGGGAAGAGAAGAAAGGAGTATCAGGAAATTCAATGTGACAGACAAACTCCAAAGTCTTGGTGATGGAGAATTGTTCCTGTAGCCACGCAGAATCTGTGGGAGTAAACAGTGTTCTCAGAATGATGAGAGCAGTGTTAGGAAGCCTATTGCATTCTTCTGCCTGGTTTTTGTGGAGAGGTTGGTGCGTATTCACTGCCTGTATGCCCCTAGTAGAAATCTACGGGAAAGTGAAAAAACTGAATGAAGTGAATAAACAGAGAAGGGAAAAGGCAGAAAAATACTATTTTCTCATCTGTTGTGTCTTTACTAAGGACAAGAGGTGGAAAGTATAAAGCAAAGAAAGGAAAGAATCCATTTCTGCTAGGATAATAGCAGGTTTCCTTCAATCAAAGGTAAATTTTGAGGTTCTGCTTCCATCACAGAAAACAGCCCTAGGGCATGTAATTGCTACTGGGACCTTATTTATTAATCAGTTGGGAGAAGCCCCAGGGACATATTTATAGTAATTCAAGTCCCTGGAAATAAGAAGTTTGACATGAGCTTTGAAGCAGCAGAGAAATTAAATTTGGTTTAGAGAATGAGTGCCCCAGG